TTAAGCCTCTGCTCCAAGTTTGCCCATTTTGCTTGTTTTTCTCTTAAGGCCTTCTTCTTTGGCATCTTAAGGAGTTATTCTTCCTGTTTTTTCCACTGTCTGATCATTCACTCAGTGGGAGGAGGCCCAAATTGTCTCTCTGCAGCTCTTACTTACATGCTCTTTGCATAGCTGGTTACATTCAGTTTGAATTTTACAGAGTAAGACAATAACTTATCAGTATTTATCTTTTTATTTTTTGAAATCTTTATAGGCTCAGAATGCTCTGGTCCCTGTTGCATCTGTGCATTCTCCACCTCCACCTCCAGTTTCTAGTTCCCAGGTTACCTGGCTTCTGACTGGTGAGGCCAAGAGCAGGATCTGATGAAAGACTGGAGGTGGGAGGAAAGCAGCTACAGGGTCTTAATCTTTCCCTCTTCTCCTCTGACAACATCTCTGGTAGTGGGTGGGTCTCTACCAGGGCTCCAGCTAGTAGGAGTCAAATCTACCATGTGTCTAGTGTTCTCTGAGTGCCTAGTCCTCAGCCCTGGAGTAGGACTGGCTTCCTGCAGTTGAGAATCTCCTAAGTGGCCTCCCTGGGTCCTCTGATGTCTCAGTTCTTCTATCACCAGTGTAAAGTCTTTGCATTAAATGTGTCCTATTTTACATACTAAGTGATTTCTTTTTCCTGACACATTTTTTATAGAACAATTTTGCTTTCATTTCATAGCTTATGAATGTTGATAAAGGGAATGTTAAATTATCCATTACCTCAGTTAATCAGATGTAGATAATGGGGCAAAGAATAATAAGATAAAATGACTGCCCTCAGGGAGCTCAGTCTGGCTGGGGAGACAGTGCTTAGCAGAGTAAGTGGGAGTGGAGAAGGACTACACTAGGGTAGTGATGGGACATCCACCCTCATAATTCTTTTCCTGACCATGATCTGCCCATTCTGTCTCTGTAGTCATGAAATTTGTTGACTATCTCATCTCCTGCCTCTACCTATCATACCTTCCTTATATTCTGATTAAAAAAAAGAACTGGCCTCTTTCTGTATCCTTGAAGCCATTTACTTATTTGATATGGCATTTCATGAGTTTGTGTCTAGGGATTTCAGAAGTCTAGCAATAAAACATTCCCCTGCTAATGGAGAAAGCCTGTAGGTCCACTCGTTATCAAACCTCCACATGCCAGAGACTGTATGTTGAGTGTTCTGCAAAGTTAAAAGAACATCGTGTTTGCCCTCTAGATGCTCACCATCTGGAAACAAACCTATAGAGATAGAAACTGGCAAAAAAAAAAAAAAAAAAAAAAAAAAAAAAAGTTATAAACAATTATCTACCTTAACTTTTCTCTTTGGTTTGTGTTGCTACTCCTGAGTTATGGCCAGGTGTTAGTAGTCTTGAAAGCTTATACTAGCAGTCTTTATTCTTTGAATATTTATGATGGAATGTACTAGCCTGGGTTCTGGGGCTCTGCCTCTTATTATAAGTGTCACCTTGGCCAAATGACTTAATCTCTATAATCCCGTCACTATCTATAAAATGAGGATCATAATAGTGTCTGCCCTAGGATTGCTCCGAGGATTAAATGGCAAAAGATATGTGATGTGCATAGCACACCTGCTGACACACTGCAGTGCATGAGCATGATAAATACGTGTTCCTGCAGCCAGAGCAAAGTATCCTAAGGCTCAGTTGAGAAAGGTGTGTTGTGTAAGTTACAAGGTTTCATTGCTTTCCTTCCACATGAAGGCTGTTGTGGCTAATCCCGAGATCCTTTGTAGTCACCTTATTTCAATTGCAAAGACAATTCTGGACCATGCTTTCTTCAGGACTAGTTAGTCTTTTGAGTTTTCAAGTCACCTCTTTAATCACATCATACATGATTGGTTGTTGTTTCAGGGCACTTCCAAAAACAAATTTGAGGCAGGTAAGACCTTTGTGGCAGGTAATACCTTAGAGGAGATTCAGGTATCGCTGCCTCTCCAAAAACTTCCGTTAATATCCATCACCTCCCTCCTTATTTGAGTTTCACACCTATTAATTGAGCACCACTATTTTTTTAATTCTGTATTGGGCTTCAGGGATACAGAATGAACAGACAATTTCCATTCTCATAAAACTTAGTGTAATGGAAATATATGTAAACAATTCAATGGACTGTGATTCAAACACAAATGGAAGGGTGTGGAAGGTCAGAGCAGTACCTGGGAGGAATATAGGAAAGTTTCAGAGATTTGGTGACACCTCAGTATATCTTAAATGGATTAAGAATAGGGAGGATCACATGGTTTGTATAGGGGAACTGGACCATATGTGTGGGTGTGTAGGGGTGTGATTGGAGATGAAAGTGAAGATGCAGGCAGGATCATGTAAGAGCTTGGCCTTTATCATGTAGATATTGGGAGCTGTTGAGTGATTTTAGGCAACAGAATGCTATAAGATTTGCATTTTAGCAGAATCATCCTTGTGTGGATAGTGAACTTGAGAAGGATGTTAGAGGTGCTGGTAGGTTCCTGTTCCCACTGCAGATTTATTAAGGCCAGTGACAGAGCCCTCTTTACTTCTGTATTCTTGAAGCCTAATACTTTTTAGACATTTAAGAAATGTTGTAAAATAAAAACAGCCCAAGTTGAATTTCCCAATTCTGCATCCTATCCTCAGAACATGCTGACCTAGACCTCCATCTGTCATAAGCAGCTTGACTAAGATCATAATAAATTATTTTTGGTTGGCTTTCTTTTAACTGGCACTCTCTATTTACTAGCCCCTCTGTGCAACTGTAGTGTGGTGATGATTGATGCTTATAATTCTGACCCTGAAGTACTTCAAACCTTCTAAATCATTAAAAGCAGATTAAAGTATATTCAATATCACTGCAGTGTTTGTGTGTTTTACTGCATTCTTATTCTTTGGAAATTAATGGTTTATCATGTGTCTGTGTACTCAGTTGCACATAGGCACAAGAGTCCATGATCACCCCCAACTCTGCTCTCTCTCCTAGTGCCTGCCAGGCATAGAGTGTTTATTGGAAATGTATGCCTAGAAATAGGTAAGCAAAATAAACCCAGTTTTCTTCTTTCCTGGGAGGAAGCAGGTTGGCCTCAAAGGGGCAGATTAGACAGAGATGAGAGAGGAGGCAGTAGTTGGAAATATAGTGGGAGTGCTAAGGCAAGAACTGATACAGATTAGCAAAACAGGCAGTTTACAAGCGAGCCCACACTAAGGCCTGAGGCAGGGACACCAGCTTCGAAGTCTTGTTTGCCTTGACCAGAATCATCAGGCCTGAACTTGGCAGCAGTGTCTTCCAGTTATATTTGTATTACAGTAACAACTGTTCAGTAAAATGCCAAACAGCAGGTGAAAACATCAATAATTAGAGCATCCTGTTCCCCACACTCACACATCTTCTTGTGAAAGCCATTATTAGTGCAGAGCTGGCAATATAATTTGGCCCCGAGTGCAGAACTCCAAATAGAGGCTATGAGGTGGCTGTCTTTGTTCTGTTACCTGGCTTCTGGGAGAAAGGCATGTGGTGGTGTTACCAGGAGGGAGAGTGGCTGTTGGGATTATCTTTTGGGGGTTGTATATTGCAGTGAGTAGAGATGTCTCTTTGTTTTATTGTGCAGATTTGTTTGTCAAATCTGTGTTTGATCAACAAGTTATGTCTGTGTCAGGGAGCCTTACTCATTGTCCAAGCCTGGAGAGGCAGTCCCCAAAACACAGGATTGTTTGTCACCTTCTAGGCAAGTGCACAGGTGGATTTTAGAGCTAGCTTTACCATTTGCCAACTCTGTGATTTTGGGTGAGTCTCTTAGTTTTTCTGGGTCTTAGTTTTTCTTTTTCTGAAATATTGGAATAATATAAGTTCCTTCTTTACAAGGGTTGCTGTGAGGCTGGAATACAATGTTGGATGTGAAAATGCTGAACTGGAAAGCCCTATATGCATAAGAGTATACTACAGCTACTAAAGCACATGATAAATATTCTAATAAAAATAGAAATGTTTCATCAGCAAGCACAGTGTCCTCAAAAATTTCCCCAAAGTACAGTGGGGAAAACGAACTAAAATTGAATTTCTTCTGTAGAGTAGATGTTCCGGCAGTTACTCTAGCCACTCCACAGCTCACATCAAATCTGTTTCAGAGATGAGGAAATAGCTTCTGGTCTCAGCAGTATATCCACATAGCACAGGTGGGATGTGGGCCTGGCTTTATCCAGAATTTAGTGCTCCTTCTCCTCTCTAGTTGTCTGTCTTATTCCATCCTTCCCTCCTCCAAAGTTCTTAAAAGCTGTTCATGTTCTTTGGGGATAGGGAATTTCTTGGCCATCCACACCTCTAGGTGGGGCAGGGCGGATCCAAAGGCCCTGAGCTTTAAGAGACCCTGGGGGGACTAGCAGTTTGGGGAAAGTCAGGGTGTAGGGCACACTCAGAGTTGGCCAAACCTGGACTGGAGGCAGGTATGCCCCTTTCCCAGCCCTTGAGGAAATGGCTGTAGCCCTATAATTTCCAGAACTTCATCTGTCAAAGTGTGTTTCAACCTCATGCAGGTTGTTTGGTGAGCTGCTGCTTGGGTCCTTCTCCCAGGAGTCAGTGCTTCTCATGCATTCTGACCGGCTCCTTGCTCTGCTTGCAGAGGGAATGAGGTTAAATTTATTTTGTGTAGTATCGCTTCTCGGCCTTTTGGCTAAGATCAAGTGTATTTTGTGTAGTAACCACTTTGCTGAGCTTTTCTTGGACCCTCCTGTTAACTTTGATGCCAGGGACAGAGGAAAGGATCCCTAAGGTGGCAGTTCATTACCTGCCCAGTGGAACCCATTGCTGCATGCATTTTCTTTTATATATATTAAGTTTTCACTATTCCAGAATAACAGAGCCAGCTTATGAACTGAAGCTGCCCACACAGAGAACCAGAGAGAATGCCTGTTGAAGGGCTAAATTGAATATTCAAGGAGGATGTCAGTGTGTGGGAGAAGCATTTGTTCAGACTGGAGCTGTGTGTCGTGTTTCCATAGGTTCTCAACAGGAGGTGCGTAGAGGCGGCAGTGATGACAGGCCTGGCACTGAACTGCCACATAAACAAGAAGTCCTTGTTTGACAGGAAGCACTACTTCTATGCAGACCTCCCTGTAAGTATGCTTTGTGATTGCCTTCTGTAAGTTCTCAGAGCTGGAGGGGTTGGAACTGGGGAGGAGGGCTGAGCCTCACATGTTTCCCATCAGAGGTCTGTCCATCGCAGCAGGAAGTTCTGCCCGACCTGATGAAGGCAGGTGCCCCCCGATGTTTGCTAGATTGGATGCAGTTGTCCTGATTGCTGACTCCTTGCTTACCCTCATGCTTCTGGTGGCTCGCTCATAATTGAATGGGGAGTAGAAGAAGCCAGTGTTCCCAGGCTCAGGCCAGCCGTGGTGTTTGGTGCTAATTGCTTGTTAGGACAAAAGCTAACTCTGGGGCTGATGTAACGGTAAACGCGGTAAATGCATGCTGTAGCTCCATAGACTCAGCGAGAGCTTCCTTCTTTCAAGTTGAAGTTCCCAGTAATAGCACCGTCACCTTTGGAGACATTTCTGTCATCTCACGAGGAGCAAGTAAGAGGAGCAAGTAAGTGGATGGCAGTAAGCAGAACCATGCGCCTGAAGCCTAGACTCACAACAGGAATCGGCTGAGCAGTAAAGCCAATGTTAGCCTGCTTTTTCCTTAAAATTAGGAAGTGTTTTTCTTTTAGAGAAGCCAGTGTGGACCGGAGCCAGTTTTGTTTTGTTTGTTTGTTTGTTTGTTTGTTTTCATAACATTAAACAGAACCAAAACGGCAGTGTTGAATGAGTTTCCCCAAATCATGTTTCATTTGATCGGAGCCTTTGATACTAAGTATGGCCCTTCTTCAGATTAAAAAAAAAAAAAAAAATGGGGGTGAGGATATTGCTTCCCATACTCCTTGAATGGAGACTTGGGTGAGCTGGTTTTTAGTAGGTGGGGGGGGGGGGGGGGGAATTAAATAAAAAATACAACTAGAACCTGAATTCTCCAGCTGTTGCTTGGACCCTCTGGTTGCAGCCTTTTAGCAGATCCTCCTTTTTCAAATGATGGAGAGCATGAACTGGCATTTTTACATCTTTTAAGAGTGATAATCAGTTTGGTTAAGATGGGGGACTTAGTACTATGGGACTAAAATGAGAAGTTTTGATTATGTGTGTCTTTCTATTCTTTCTGGCCCAGGCAGCTCAGATGATCCAGAGTTAGTGTTGTCAAATATTACATGGGACATACACTAAAAAAAAATTCATTATTTATCTGAATAAGCAGTTTATTTGAATTATTCTAATTTGAATTTAAGCATCCTGTATTTTATTTGGCAGCCCTACTCAGAGTTTACTTTTTATAAATTGAGACTTCTTTTTTGCACAGAGAACGAGTTGGCCGAAAGCAGTGATTTCTGAAAGTGTGGTTCCCCAGACCACTAGCACCATTTCCTAGGAACTTGTTAGAAATATAAATTCTCAGCTACCATTCCCAAACCTGCAGTCAGAAACTCTTCAGGTGGAGCTAGTCTGTGTTTTGACCAGCCTGCCAGGTGATTCCACAGCAGCTAAAGTTTGGAAAATGCTGGCTGGGTGGCTAAGAGCACGGACGGTGAGGCCAGACGATCCTGTTCAAATCCTGACATTGATGCTTACTAACTCGATGGCTTGGGGCAAGGCCCTTAATCCCTTCTGGGCCCTGTACCTCTTGCTAGGATTGTTGTGAGAATCAAAAAGTGTACCGAACTGAGAATATAGTATCAGGGACTCCAGCAAGCTGAAGCAGATGCTTCAGCTATTACTGTTCTTCAGTTCTCCCTGTTGACCTATCTCTTTAGCGTGTGTCCATTCATGTGTGTATTTGAAAGCAGTTCTTCCTCGCCACTTAGAGGGAGGTGAGGAAGTCCTTGTGATATTCATCAGCATTTTAGTACCCCATACTTTCCATTAACTACATATGAGCATTTTCTGGCTAGAAGAATAAGGAAAGTTGGGTCAAAGGAGGCAGCTGGCACAATTGGTTAGCTTAAAGAATAGGAACAAAACAAGCTTATGAGTACTAGCAACTGCTCTCAGCTGTGCTAAAAGTAGATAGCAAAAAGCTTAGGCCTCACTTCCCAGTAAGGAGGGTCTGTCAGGAGCAGTAATCAGATGTACGGTTAGGCCAGTGGTTGGCAAACTCATTAGTCAACAGAGCGGCAAACCGTGGCTCGCTGTGGCTCACGAGCTGCAGTTTGCTGACCACTGGGTTAGGCTAATGCATTAAGTGGACACAATACATTCCCTTAGAGACCTCTGACAACGAGATTATTGTTATTCCCCCAAATGGTACTTCAGTAGGGAAGATAGGATTCGGGTTGTTTATTGCACCATTATTTGGGGCAGGGGATATCCAGGGAGGGTAAAGGGGGATAGGAAAAGCCAGAAGAGGCCAGGCTAAATTATGGCTAAAAGGTATAAAATAATTTTTCTTCTCCTTTTTCTTTTCCTTTGTTTTGTTTTGTTACATTGTGTTTTTAGGTAAGTCTTTAGTTTTGTGACCTTAAAAGGAATAGGGAACTGGACCCAGCTTTAATTTGTGGACTGGTGACTATGTAATTCCTGTTTGTGTGCAGGCAGGTTACCAAATTACCCAGCAGAGGCTCCCGATCGCTGTGAAGGGCAGTTTGGCGTACAGTGTCTTTGTGGGGAAGAATCGGAATCAGGTGATCAACAAGACAGTGAGGATCAAGCAGATCCAGCTGGAGCAAGACAGTGGCAAGAGCCTTCACGATGACCTGCGGTCCCAGACGCTCATTGACTTGAACAGGGCAGGTAGGCTTAGAGATCCTCCATTAGTTTTCCTCTCAGCCTCCCTTCAACCCTTCCAGTTTCCCCAAACAAACTGAGGACACAGGCCCAGAAGCCTGACAGGTCGAGATCAGAATATCCTCATTGGTACTGGCATAGCTGATCAGAGAACTGTGATTACTGTTGGGCTTGCTAACAACCCACCCCTAACACGAGACAAATGTAGACGCCTCATCAGACCCAACAGCTTGATATTTTAAGCCGACTTTAGAAGAAATGATCCAAAGTTAAAGATTAAAAAGTGAGGGAAAAGAGAGAAGCAATTCCAAGGCTAGGACCCACTTTGAGAGTCCTTCAGTGATGCGTGGTTTTCCAAAGATTTCAGCCTAATTTATCTGCTGGTCAGATTGCAGAGCTCGGTCAGGCTGACTCTGCCTTGCCTCTCGTTTGGTAGGAGTTGGCCTTCTGGAAGTGGTCCTGGAGCCCGATATGTCCTGTGGAGAAGAGGCAGCAACAGCTGTCAGGGAGCTGCAGCTGATACTTCAAGCCCTGGGGACCAGCCAGGCAAACATGGCAGGTACAAGCTCACAAGCAGTGTCCCTCCTTCTACACCTCCTCCCTTTCTGCTTCTCGGGTCTCTTTGCACTTAAGTTTTATTCTCTGCATCAGCTGCTTTGAGGTGGTTTACATCCTTTTTTTCAGCTTTTTACATTCCTAATTGTTTTGGTGGGTTGTTTTTTTTGTGTGTGTTTTTTTTTTAGAATTTTTCTTGGATTCTTTTCTGAGCCCTTAACCAAAATAAATACACTAACAACAAGGGTACAGAGGCCCTGGGCCCAAGCTTTTGAAATTAAGAGTTGCAAGAGTAGATGCTCTATCTGGCTTCATGAATCAGAATGTTGTGAGGGTTGATGAAATAATGTGTTTGAATGGTTTCACTTTTCACAGAAGACAGTGTTTATCCAGAATAACTCGGTTAGTGAGAGCTGTCTGGGTGACTCTTTGTTGTTAATTGATGCCTTTCCTTTTGGTCTTTTTCTTCTTTTGGAGAATTTTCATCCATGTGCAGCTGAAGCCAAATTATATAAACTATAAGCCAAGGTTATGATTTCACTAAACTTTAACTTTGAGATAAAATCTTAAATTCAGTAGAAATATAGTAGGAAATTAAGGTAAACAAGAACGCCCACTTGAATCCTTGGGATCAAACAAACTATGCATTTTAAGTATTTGTACATTTGACATAAGATTACAAGTACCTGTCAAGTTCAGTTTCTTCATGTTTCACTCCCTTGACCCCTTTATAGAGGTGCTTTACTGGCCTAGAAGTCCCTGAAAGCTAGTCTCTCCCATGGTTTTCTCCCTATTTTCTGTTCCCAGGGGCTTATAAAAATCTTCTGCCACCAAAAGAGTGGAAAGAGGATACAGATTCTGCACATACAGTTGTTCATCTGAGATCACTGCAGTGGTGTAGTAGTATTCTCCAGAGAAACAGGACCAGTGGAATGTGTGTATGTTATGCATGTATGTTTGCATCTAATGACATTAATTGTAAGGAACTGGCTCATATGATCATGGAGGCTGAAAAGTTCCAAGATCTAGTCAGGAAGTGGCAAGAGAGCTTTTGCAAGAGTGCGAGTTCCAGGGGAGCAGACAGTGCAGTCCAGTTCAGGTCCACAGGCCTGAGGACCGGAGAGCCAATGGTGTAAGTTCCAGTCTGAACCCAAGTCCAAAGGCAGGAGACCAATATCCCAACTCAAAGTCAGGCAGGCAGGCAGAAGGACTGAATCCCCCCCATTCTACCTTTTGTTCTGTTTAGGCCTCCCATGAATCAAATGGGGCCCATTCACAGTGGGGAAGCAGTCTACTTTACTCAGTCTGTGGATTCGAATGGTAATCTCATCCAGAAGCACCCTCACAGACACACTCAGAATAATGTTTAACCAAATATCTGGGCACCCCATGACCCAGTCAAGTTGACTGTAACATCAGCCAACACGAATGGTCACAGTGGGTGCCCGTAAATACTTCTGATGGTGATGATTCATCCCTACCAGTTTGTGATGTTGTTTACCAACCTTTTCATGTCATGCAATATAGCTGTATTCTACAAAAAGACTTCCTAATTTGTTATGCCACATTTGTCACATAGGACATCTTAGAAGCAATAAATTGTTACATCAGAGTCCTGTTACAAGTTGAACCTGAAGACAGAACTTGCCTATTTGCTGTCTTCCTTAGGCTAATAATTGGAAAAACACTAGCCACATGAGTGAGTGGCTTAAAGGTTAGCTGCCTGCAAGTTTGCTTTAGAGAAACAAGGCTTTGTTTTAGAATAATAAAACTCTCCATTTTAGATTTATGGCTCATGCTGCTTTTACCCACAGAACATAAGTGAAATATGGGCAGGTTGGATGGTAATTCATTCATGCACTAAGTGTTGATTCTCTGTCGCTTAAAAAAAAAAAAAGTTTTCATTATTCCATTCTTCTTCAAAATAATTGATTTCTACCAAACTTATGGAATAATAAACAGGCCACCTGTTAGCTGAGAAGTAACCCCATCTGGGTCCTTGCCAAGAGATAAACCATATTGGCAAGAACACATCAATTCAGTTATAGTGACAGCTCAGAGGATTCATTAAATGGCATTTGGTATGATATTTTTTGTTGCTTTTAAAAACAAACCCAAAGTTTTGCCCATAGCACAGCAGTAGAGTGGCTGTGGTGGTCCCAAAGGGCTATGGGGAGGGTCTCAGAATCTGTAGTGTCTGCAGGGGTCAGCCCTGACCCTTTTACTCCCACCACCATGGGACCACTGTGTTGGCACTGGAGACTGCAGCCTAGGAACTGAGGGCCACTCTAGGGAGGACAAGTGGATCCCCAGGGTTCTTTGGGAATGACTCTTAAATTCCTCTGGGCTGTGATTCAATGAGTTCCTGATAGTTTTACTGATGAGCATAGACCAGCTCAGCCTGGGTTCCAAAATTCATTTTCTTCTCAGGGATGTCTGCCACTGTGAGATTTTCAAACAATCTGTTGAGTTGATGGATACCTATGTAGATATACAGAATGTTTCAGTGGCAATAATAATGTTCAGTTTGAACATGTAGGCATGTGCTCTTTGGTTCACTAAGCATTTTTAAAATTCATTTATCATTTAAACTTTATGACAGTTCTTGAGAGATGTTTTTATGCCTGTTGTACAGGTGAGGAAAGTGAGGCTTAAGGAGATTGGATTAATTGTCCAAAGTTCACAAGAAGTGATTGTGCTAGGATTTGAGCCCAAGTGTGTCTGACTCTAGGAGCCTTTTCTTTAAGCACTGGTCACACCGCCTCCTAGTGGCAACCACAATAGATAGCTATCCTATATAATAAAAGCCTAATATGCTAAGTGTCTGGTCATCCGGTCAACCAATCAAAGCATAATATGCTAATGATATATTAAGGCTGCTCAACTGCTTGCTAGGACGTGCACTAACCACCAGGGGGCAGATTCTCCTACTGGTAGGTTAGCTTACTGCTGGGGTCCAGCAAATAGGGACTGAGCAAGATAGGCCGGACACACCCTGGAGCCCTCCTGTGGACCCTCCCCGGCTGGCCAACCTCCTGCATCCCTGCCCGGCCCTGATCGTGCACCAGTGGGGTCCCTCAGTCTTGCCTGCACCCTCTTGCAATCAGGGACCCCTCAGGGGATGTCAGAGAGGTAGTTTTGGCCCAATCCTGCAGGCCAGGCCGAGGGACTCCACTGGTGTATGAATTCATGCACTGTGCCTCTAGTCTATCATAATTGCCATAGATAACTTTGAAAGATAGTATAGCAGAGCATGGGTACCATGGGTGCTGATGGCACTAAGGTCCCAGATCTGGGATGGAATCCTGTTCTACCACTTCTAGCTGTAGGAACCTGAGCACGGTATTTGATTTCACTGAACCTCACTTTCCACACTTAGGAAACGAGTCCCCAAATAATAAGGTATGGAAAGGGAAAGGAAGAAACCAAAGAGCAAAGAAACCATCCAAGTCTTCAGATAGTTGGGACAGCTGGATAGTGTCCCTGAGACAGGGAGATGATTTACTGAGACAGGGACGATTGGGAGAGGAGTACTTTCATGGGAGAAAATCATTTTGATGTTAAGTTTGAAATGCCTAAAGGGTGTCTAAGTGGCTTTGTCATTGAACTAGATTGTAGGGAATGAATGTGATAATGTGTATAAAACTTATCACAGGCCTCAACAAATAGCCTGTGCTCACTATCTTAGGTATTTTTAACAATAGTAAGTAGTGTTACTTTTACAGAATCACCGCTCATTTTAGATGAATACGCTTTGTGAAATATGGTCACTTTTTCTCATTGTCGAACCTTGTTATTTAAGTTCTGGAGAGTATTCAGTGATCAGAATGAGATAGTTTAATAGACTTCTCACTAAATCCTCAGGCCCCTGCTGCTTACAGAAACAGCTTTCTGTCCTGATGTTATATTTCTGATGTGTGAATGTGTTTCAGGAAAAAATAATGTAACTGTACCATATCACTGTGCTCAGTGGTGTAGTTCTTTGGCTTTGCGGTTACAAATCTCTGCTTCTAGGGGGTAGAAATTGAGCTTGATAGCATTCTCATGATATGTGAATATAAGCCCTCCCTTGGTGTTGCAGAACCTGACTGGTAAGGCTTTTGTGCATTTGAGGCAATTTAACTTAATTTGTTTAAAAGGTATTTTGTCTTCATTGGATAGGCTATCTTTTGTTAATGTTTGATGCCATACTTGAATCCAGGCTAGGGAATGTTCTTTTAATACTGCAGGATACTAAGTGATTCCTCTCAGACTTTTCTATAGCATGGTCATCTCTGGGAGAGACTGAAATTCATGCTTTTATTCCATTTCCAAATAAGAGTTCTAAATTGTGAAAGATAGTTTCATTCTTAAAAGCAAGTGAGGTCCAATTCAGGGTTCCTTGAGTTCAAACACAGTTGTCTCAAGTATTGAAATTTGGTTGAGTAGAGCTCAGCATACTTTGGAAGTTTTCCTTTGAGCTACTTGGGCCTTTCAGATTATTCCAGCTGTAGTTTAGTCTTACTTAAATGGAATTTATCGGGAACCTGCTATGAGGCAGTTACCAGTCCACTTACTCATTGCTCAGGAGAACACCAGAGTTTTGACTTGTTCAATAAGGTATTAATTTATTGAACAATTACTATGTTCCAGACCCAGCTCTGGGTTCTGAATATAGCCAATGCAAGGATATTCACAAGTTTATGTTCATGAGGGAGGAAAATTTATTAACAAATAAAGCAAAAACAGTTATAGTGGTAAGTGCATTAAGGAAATAAATAGGGTGTCAAGGAAATTGAAGGCCTCAGAGGAGGCAGCATTTATTTGAGTGAGTCCTGAAGAATGACCCCAGGCCCAGGCAGCATAGAGGGAGGGAATGAGCATTCTAGGAAAAAGCTAAGGCAAAATCCCTGCATGAGAAAAATCTTAGGATACACTTGGAGTTAGCATAGTTAATAGCCACTGCAGGGAAAGCATACTGAGCAGGCAAATGCAGCATCAAGTGAGGCTTGGGCTAGATTACTGATAATGGCAGGAAGGTATTTGGGTTTCATTCCAAGTGCAGTGGGGTGTCCTCAAAGGACTTTGAAGCAAGGGAATGACTTAGCCTATGTAATATTTTAGAAAAACCACTCTGTCTGCTTTAGAATAGACTCAGAAGGGTAAGAGGAAGCAAGACCAGGTAAAAAGCTTTTGTCATTGTTCAGATGGAAGATGATACTTTGGTGGCCAGGACTGGTTTCCATGAAAATGAAAAGATCTAGACAGATAGATTCAAGATGGTTTTTAGAAGTAAGAGGATTTGTTAACAGGCTGGTGTGCAAGTCAAGGGATAAGAAGAAATCAAAGATGCCTTTTAGCAAGGCTGAGGAGCTCGGTGGTGGTGCTATTTACTGAAATTGCAAAGATGAGGACAAGAATGGCTTTGTAGGGTGAGGGAAGGGGCAAGTCAGGATTTAGTTTTAGAAATTGGAATACCTATGAGAACTCCAAGTGGACGTTGGGTATCAATGAGGAGCTCCAAGTGGAGGTCTGGGCTGAGGAGATCAATTTAGGAGTCATCAGCAATAGATGGTATATAAAACAGCAAGAGCATAAGGAAAGAAGACAGTCCTAAGTTTGAATGGGAAAGAAAGCACCAGCAAATAAGTGGAAATGTAGTCTCCTAGGGAGACTGGAGGGAAACCAAGAGACTTAAGGCCGCAGGAGCTGAGAGAGGACCATATTTCAGGAAGGATTTACCAGTATGTCATGTGTGGCTGAGGTATCCCATAAGGATAAGAGAGAACATGTCCTTTGTCCACTGGATTTGGCATCAGGAGGTTGTTGGTGTCTTTGTGTAGGTGTTTTCCTAGAGGAAGGGATAGAAGCCAAGATGAACTGGGTTTAGAAGTAAATAGGAGGTGAGATCATGGAGACAGTATGTGCAAAAAACAAAACTTTGTGACGATTTGTTGAATAGGAAAGTAGAGAAACGGTAGCTGAATGAAGAGAGAATTGAGTTCAGGAGAGTAGGGCTTTGGTTTTGGGTTGTTGTTTTTTTGTTTTTGTTTTTAAAGAGAAACATTACTTATGTATATATCAGAAGTAGTGCTGAGAAACGGAGGTTAATGACATGTGAGGAGGAGGTGACTGAAAGAGTGATGTCCTTGGGAAGGCAAGAGTGGTGGGGATATATATAAAAGCTGGCCCATTTTTCAAAGGCCTGCCATTTTGGTCTTAAAGATAAGGTTAATTCAAAATAGGCTGTACATATATGCTAGATCCTGTAAAATTGGTTATGTATATTCTAATAATGCAGGGGAGCCAGCAGTAGAGGCCAACTTATTGATTAGGGGTTTTAAGGAAGAAAAAAATTCTTTTAAATTCTTTAAAAAATTCCATTAACACTCAAGTGGAACCTTGAAAGATGAGCAGAGTTTGAGAAGGGACAGTCATATGATGAAGAGAGTGCATGGAAGCTAGAGGTGCAGACAGGGACTTGTACGAAGAGATCTCTCCTGATTGGAGGAGAGCTTTCTCATGGAATGCTTCGTGGGAAAATGTGGGTAGTTTCAACCAAGACCAGATAAAGGTTCTAGAATACCAAGCAGAGGAGATGAGTCAATCCAGTGGGAGCTGGCTGTGCACTTGTGCAAACAAAGAGAATGCTGAACATGACCTTGTGGAAAGATGAAAGTCAGAGTCGCTCCCAGGTGGCTGGACAAGGAGGGGTTGAGGTGTTGGTTTCTGTGATTGCGTCATTTGGACTTGAAGTTCTGAGGCCTCAGGTGAGGGTGGCAACAGTGGAAATGGAGAGGTAGTGACAGGTATGAGGAATATTTGGAGGGAAGAACTGATAGGATCTAGTTATCAGTTTGGATATAAAGGACAAAGGAAACAAAAGCAGAAGATGATTTTAGGGTCCCCAGACTGAGAATCCGATGATGTCAGAAATAGTTGGAACTTTTTGAGATTCGGGTAAGCACGAATAGTCCAAAAGGAGCTACAGGATTTTGTAAAAGTCTTGAGATGTCCAGACTGGAGACATAGAGTAATTTCCAAGCTGAAAGGCACCTTTCCCCTGACAGTCAGCATGGGGTGGAGAGGGGGGCATTGCATTAGGAAGAAAGGTGAGCTCTTCCTTTTCCTGTGGGAATGAGTGAAGAGAGGGCAAGCAGCAGCCTGCCCTTGGTCTCCAGCTTGGAGAGTGAGCCACACAGCCCAGCACTGGGGCAGTGGCAGAGACCAGTGCCTAGGGTCTCCTTTCTTGGCATGGAATTTGTTTATACTATTTTATTATTTTTATATGCATTTGCTATGGAATCTGGGAAAATTAATTTCTTTATTCAGCCTATCAGAACACTTAGGTTTGACAGATTTATTTTCGTAGACAGGTTTTTAAATTGAAAAATAAACTTTAGCATTTTGTCTTCTTATTCTGTCCCATTTTAAATATTGTAAAGTGAAATTGGGAAACAGAATTTGAGCTTTACTTTGTAGCATATAAGACCCAAGTGTTTCTTAACTTTCCTATTTGTCTTGGAACTTTGCCTCCCTCTCCTCCTCAAGAGCCTCTTAGTCCTCTCCACAGAGCACCTGCTTCCTTACGGGTGATTACTCCTAATCTAAAGGGGCTTTTGGAGTCAGAGATGGTCCTCTCAGGTGGGGACACCTCCCTCTGAGTCTCACCACAGACCCCAAGTCTGAACAGCTCTGTCCACTGCAGTAGATCTTACAGCAGCCGGAGAGGATGCAGAGTCCTGTCTGTGGAAGGAGGGGATTGTTACAGTGCTGGAGGAGGGAAAACACCCAAGTTCTGCTCTCGCCCTTGAGCTGTAAATTCTCAAGGATTCTCTTATTAATCTCCCAGAATCACTGTTGGAAATTCCCATTCCTTTGGAGAGCGTGTAGGGTTATCAGATAGTCATTTCTGAGGCCTTCCTGACAACCCAGCCCTGACACTTCGAAAAAAGCTTGAGAATAAAACTGCTGAGTAAATATCTATTTTAACAGTGTTGTTTTTCTTACTGGGCACAAAAGGAATGAGATGTCCCCAGCTGGTGTATCCACAATTTCTCCTCTCTCGAGTGTGCACAAGTGCACACAAATACATACACATATATCCACACACTTGAGATGCTTTGGGGCCAGGATTCTCTTAAGCAGACAGAAATGCCGGTCGTGTACTTCAGAACCAACGTTCCTTCTTTAAGGTTAGGTTGCTATCACTAAAGAGTAAGTAGAGTTAGATATTGCTTGCCTGTACACTCCTGCCTTTAAAAGACCATGTTGCCTCAGATAATTTCTAAAGAATTATCTCTTTTTTTTCTCTCTCTCTCTCTTTTCAGAGGGCCAGTTGAGGGTGGATGCCAATATATCTGTGCATCATCCTGGGGAGCCTTTGGGTGTTCGAACTGAAGTGAAGAATCTCAACAGTGCCAGGTTCTTGGCCAAAGCAATAGGTGAATGTCAGCTGTTACTCCTAATTGTACCTCTCTGTGTCCATTATCTATTGCTGTGTAACGAGCTACTCCAAACCTTAGTGGCTTGTGCAGTAACTTTCAGTTTCCACAATTTTTTGCACTTACGCACTGGGTGGTTTTGCTGCTGTCCTGCCTCAGCTCCTTGATGCGTCTATGGAAGCTGGCAGCCCAGCTGAAACAAAGAGTCTGAGATGACCTCACTCACCCTGTGGGGCCGTGGTGCTAGATGTATGCTACGCTTCTCTATCCACTTGGTCTTTCTTCATTTGCTTGCCTAGCCTGGGCCTTCTAGAGTGGCATTGGGATTCCAGGGGAGAATCCCTTGAATCTTGATAGGCAGCAGTTCTAGATCTGCAGGCACTGGGCCTAGATAGTGGCCCCAGCCCTTCTTCTACCAAGCACTGGGTCACTTAATCTCTCTGAACCCAAGTTTTCTCAAAAAGGGAGAGAGTAGAGTTTAATAAAGGCCCGTTTAAGCACCATAATTCTATGATGGCAACAAGAAAAAAATATAGTGTACAGTAGTCCCCCCTTTATCCACAAGGGATATATTCCAAGAGTCCCCATGGATGCTATAGCTGTGAATAGTACCAAATCCTATAGATGTGTTTTTTTCTATATATATACCTATGATCAAATTTAATTTATAGATAAAACACAGTAAGAGATTAACAATATAATAAGTAATACTAAAATAGAATAATTATAACACTATTCTATGATAAGTTATGTGGATATGGTGTCAGTCTGTCTGTCTTTCTTAAAATACCTTATACAGTACTGTACGTACCCTTGACTCATGATAATGTGAGATGATACAATGCCTACTACAGTGAAGGAGGTGAATGATGTAGGCACTGTGATTTAGTCTTAGGCTACTGTTGACCTTCTGAGGATATATCAAAAGGAGAATCCTCTACTTTGAGTCATCCTGGGTCATGATGTTGATGGTAGGATGTCAGGAGCACACATTATCTGAGACTGGGTAAATTTAATCTTAGGCTGTGGCTGAATTCAGGTATCTGAAACCAGAGAGTGAAATCATGGATAAGGAGGGAGTTGCACAAAGGAAGAATTATTATATACTAGAGACCCAGTGCACGAAATTCATGCACGGGGGTATGTCCCTCAGCCCAGTCTGCATCTTCTCCAATCTGGGACCCCTCAAGGGTTGTCCAACTGCCCATTTAGGCCCAATTCTGGTAGGATAGGGTTTAAACGGGAAGTCAGATATCCCTCTCACAATCCAGGACTGTTGGCTCCCAACTGCTCGCCCTCCTGATTGCCCCGAACCACTCCCCTGCCAGCCTGATTGATGCCTAACTGCTCCCCTGTTTGCCCCTAACTGCCCTCCCCAACAGGTCTGGTCACCCCTAACTGCCCTCCCCTACAGGCCTGGTCCCCTTCCCCCACCAACTGCTCTCCCCGGCAGGTCTGGGTCCCCCCCAACTGCCCTTCCCTCCAGGCCCGGTCGCCCCCAACTTCCCTCCTCTGCTGGCCTGGTTACCCCTAACTGCCCTCCCCTGAAGGCTTGACCGCCCACAACTGCCCTCCCTTGCAGGCCTGGTCCCTCCCAACTGCCCTCCCCTGCTGGCTATCTTGTGGTGGCCATCTTGTGTCCACATGGGGGCAACCATCTTGTGTGTTGGAGTTATGGTCAGTTTGCACATTACTCTTTTATTACCCTGTTTCCCTGAAAATAAGTTTTATATTAATTTTTTCTCCCAAAGTTGCGCTAGGTCTTATTTTCAGGGGATGTCTTATCTTTCCATGCTCTAGGTCTTATTTTCGGGGAAACACGGTAGCTAGGACAGAGGCCTGCTGCACAGGTCGGGGCTGACTGGTGGGCTAAAGGGTGTCCTGGATCAGGGTGGGGGTTCCCTTGGGGCATGAGGCAGCCTGGGTGAGTGGCCTGTGGTGGCTTGCAGGCTTACCACACCCCCCACGCTACCCAAGTGGAGGCCCTGGTATCTAGAATTTATTTATCTTCTATAATTGAAACTTAGTAGCCTTGAGTGAAGGCCTGAGCCTGCCAGTGTGTGCAGAAAGCTTGACTTCCACCATTGCTGGGGAAACCCAACTCTCCTGCTCACTCTGTGGCTGTAGCCATCTTGGTTGGGTGATTTGCATACTCGTTCCTGATTAGCTGGTGGGCGTGGCTTATGTGGTGTAGAGGAATGATGGTTAATTTGCATATTGTGTTTTTATTAGATAGGATGATTCTGTTGACTTTATTGTTAAAGGTTTTATAAGTTTTTTTTAAATATTGCTTGGCTGGATGAAAGGAATAAAAATTATGTTACTAAATTACTATGTTTTTCTTAGACTATGAAATTCAGAGGCAAATCGAAGAACTTGAGAATGGAGGAGAAATTTTGAATGAAACTCGCTCCTTTGATTGCAAGCTGGGGTGAGTCTCCTTGAAAGCATCTTGAGTGCAGCCGGGTGGGACTCCAGTCTGGGCTCACCACAGGTCAGCCATGTGAGTGTGAAGAAGGTGCTTAGGTTCTCTGCAGTTCCATTTCCTCATTAGTAAAGTTAGGAAAATACTGTGTCCTATGAGGTTATAATACACCCTGCAGGCTGCAGGGCTGGTAAAAGGTTTAAACTGAAGCAGTTACGTAGTGCTTAGTTCTAGGTCCTGGCCCTTCCTTTGCTCCCAGGTTACCTGCTTTGTGGCAAGCATTTTTATTTCCTCAGATTCTATCAGACGAAAGCTCTACCAATTTAAGCTAGAGGTAGAAGAAGGTTTAGAGCTGGTTGTAGAGCTTCCTTTTTCTGTTTAGATAACATTGACTTTAATGTACTAAATCAGAAATTTTGCAGTCTTATACTTTTAGCAGAAAATCAAACAAAGTGCAAAGCCCAGATTTAGAGCTGGTTAAAAGCTGGAAGCATTGAAGCAATTTCTTTTTTTTAATTAGCATTCTAAACATTTTTATTTTTTAATATTATTTTTTAATGTATTCACAATATGTCTCCCAAGGAAAGTTGAAGAGCTTGAATCTGCCTATGCCCATTATTGACAGGGAATCCCCTCTGTGGATATGTGTGCCAGCCTGTGCCGCATGCAATATTCATTTAACGTTTTCTTACTTAACTATCATAGGTGCACTGTGCCGATGAGAGACAAAGAAGGAAAGCAAGACTACAGGTGATTACTCCCCTTATCAAAACAGCTTTATGTATTTGGGATTAGGGGCATATTTCAAATCCACTAATAATTTTTAGGAACCACTTTTTGTTATTGTTGCCTCATGGAAAATCCAGACTTCCTATTTTAGTGTATACTGAAAGAAAGAATAGATTCTTAATTGGAGTGCCTTATTAGATAGGATTCAATTGTTGGAAGACGCTTGTTCACTCACTTCTGAGAGTTGCTATAATTCAGGGATGGGGAACCTTTTTTCTGCCAAGGGCCATTTGGATATTTATAACATCATTCACGGGCCATACAAAATTACCAACTTAAAAATTAGCTTGCTATACTTGGTCAAACCTTTAATTAACTCACCCCTTGTGCCTTGGCAGGGCTGTGCCAAATGATTTCCCGACCCTTGTATGGCCTTTACGGGCTGGACATTCCCCACCCCTACTCATTGAACCAAGAGGATGGCAGTTGAGGATGGGGCCTAGCCTCTTTTTACTCCTACATTCAGTCACAAGTTCAGAAAGGCACTAAAGTTCCTTGAGAAGAAATGAAAAAAGAGATGTATATGCTCCTGGCATTTCCCTTCAATCTTCAGATGATGCTGTTTAATTGATAAGTTGGACTTAATATGAGATTCAGAAATAAAGCAAGAAATAAAGATACACTTAAGCTAACTCAGGCCTTTCATTTATTTCCCCATTGAGTTTAGCTGATTGCAAAGTTTGAAGTTTTACACATCAAAATTGTTAAGGGTAGCCCACCTCTCCTTCATTATGTGCAGAAAGATGTAAGAATAGCTATTGCTGTCAGTGAGGGACAAATGTGGCATCCTGTGGGAAAACAGCAGCTCATAAACCCTTAGAGTGAACTTCACCTCAAAGATGCCTCTCATGTTGTCTGTCACAGGGGATTGCTTTAATTACTGTGACCTTCTGGATTCAATCAGTTCTTCTCAAGAACGTTTGACTTTCAGTGTTGCCCCCACTCTGTTTCTGCTGCTTTCTGACTGAGTATGGACTTAGAGTTTAGCTAGTGGCTTCAGCTCAGTCCCCAGGTTAATAGATGGGAGTCCCTCTTACCTTCAGAAGTCGGATTGATTCATAGCACAGATCTGGCATCAAGGTGACAGGTTGCTTGCACTTCAATCTGTTACCTCGGAGTCACCATTCGTTCTGCGTTTCTGCATCTGCATAAGCCCTTTGACAGATATAAGCAGAGAGAAAATGATCGATGCTGGAATAAAACAGGGATTATATGCAGTGGTGCAGCTTCCACATTTTAAAAAATTTAATTTTTAGAGTAGTCTTTGGTTTATTGCAAAATTGAATGGAATTACAGAATCCCTGTATGTTCCATGGTATGTACCACATACCATGTACTTGTCTTTTCCCCCATAGTTTTCTCCTGCATGTATGTGGAATGTGGTACATTTATTACAATCAATGAACTGAAATTGATACCTTATTATATTAACTAAAATTCATAGTTTACATTAGAGTTTACTCTTTATGTTGGACATTCTATGGGTTTAGACAAATGTATAATGACATGTATCTACCCTTACAGTGTCATACATAATTTCACTGTCCTAAAAACCTGTCTGTACTTAACTCACCCCTCCTCCCTTCTCTCCCCTCTAGCTTCTATATTTATTTAGGCAAAATCCATTCATTGTTTCTGCTTCTCAAGAAAATATTTTCTTATTCTTTGACTTTTCATTAATTACATAAATACTACTAAAAGTAGTGGAAATTTTAAAAAGGGGGGAATCATCTTTCTCCCTAATAAGTTGTTCTCATTTGCTCTTATGTCTTCATGAATATACTGAAAGCCCAGTACACGAAATTTATGCACTGGTAGGGTCCCTAGTGGCTGCCAACTGCTAGCCTGTGCCTCCCTCCCCCTCTGCCAGCCAGGGCCTTCCTTCATTCCACACCACCCCCTGGTGGTCATCAAATGTCATAGGGAGCAATGGAACTCCCAGTCGATCGAACTCCCAATGGGACATGTTACATATTAGGCTTTTACATATATAGATACTTTATCCACAAGTGTACATCACAGCATGGCACGAACAGTGCTGTGCCTCTTTCACTCGTCACTAGTTCCTCAGCATGAAAATCAGCAGGGTTGGTGTTTCTAGCTGTTGTTTACACTTGTGCACAGACTGATTCCCAGGAAACAAGGGGCCAATATTGATATTGTAAGATATTAGAAAACGTTTGTGGTGACATGGCCTCTCTATACAGAAACTTTCCTATGAATAATTGGGTTTTTCTTATCAAACTAAATACATCAGCATCAGGCCCTGTATCCTTTCTGCCTAGGTTTATTCCTGAGCCCAACCTGCCTCCCCTGCTGCTCTATGATTCAGCGTCTCTGCCTGCTGGCGCAGACCCACAGCAAGTGATCAATATCGACCAGCTTCGAGAGCAGCTCCCCGAGCTCCCCAGTGTGACCCGGGAGAAGCTCGTCCAGCAGTATGGGATGCTACCGGAACACAGCTTCACCTTACTGGTAGGTGTTGATCAGAGGCTTAAATAAGCCCGGCTCAGCAGTTGGGGTGAGGCTATGCAGTGGGCTCTGGTGGAGCAGGCCGAATGCCTCCGTTGTATGAAAGATGCTCCTGGGTAGAACAAGGCGTGATAACCTTCGTTCACTCCCCTTAATGATAAATGCACCTCATAAAACCGGAAGCATAATCTCGTATCTCATGTCTCCTGTGTAGAAAGGAGTGGCTGCTCAGAGCAGCAGTGGTGGCTTCTTGAAAAGCATCCAAATGTTATGGGCGAGCGTTTTCCCCTGTGTCTGTAGGACAAAAGAAAATCTATGTATAGAGTTTCCAGCAGTATTAAACCATGACAGGGCCTGGCAGGAAGTTAGTTCTCAAAACCCAGCCAGTTGTTTTACCAAGTGCAGAAGAAAACATTTATTCTACAGGACATGCTGAAAACTCTCACTAAAAATATCAGTCCTTTGAGGCTTGAGGATACATCTGAAAGAGGCAAGAGAGAATCTGACACTATTGAGGTCTGTGTAGGGATTTTCCCATCCTTTTCACGGCTGCTTGGGGCTTTGCAGTCTTCTTCGTCATGGCAACATTAAAGTGATCCGGCACCAGTGAGTATAGCGTACTGTCAGAGTTGTCTTCTTGTCTGTTGGGGAGGAAGCAGAGCATTCTGTTGCTGCTGCTTTTAGGGACCAGGTTTATGCCACGCACTTACCTTTTGGGGCAGCAGAATCTATCGAAATTCTTGATTTTTGCAATTTAATTGACCAGTAATATCTGGGGATGTTAAGATATACCCATTCCTATGTAAATGTATTCAGTTCAGTAACAGTAACCAGCCATTTCTGGTGCATGGTAGGCAATCGAATGTTTGTTAAATGAATGATTTTCTCTTTATTTTCTCTAAATCAGTTAATTTGACAAGTATCTACAGTGTCATGTGAAAACTCTTTTTTACTACCAACAATGGTTAGGCATGATCTTTTTCTTTTTTCATTCCCTAGGTAGAATTGATCATTGTCTCCTATAGGCTGCCTATATATTTTACTCCTACCTCTGTGGCATCTATGTCACTGTATTTTGATTATTTATTGGTGTGTCTTGTTCAGTAAGGATGGTTGCATCCTTACCTTCCCTGTTCCTCAGCACAGATGAGCACACCAGCAGTGCCTAAAGCCACATCTGTATGTTAATCTGTTAGTCACCATCTCATACAGAACAACTTTCACTTGCATTTTTTCTGAGTTGATTTAACAGAACTGATATTCAGTCTTTCATATCTTCCTCACCATCTTGATCGTTTGACTTGGGCGGGGGGGGGGGGGGGGGAGGATTAAATTCCAGAATAAAAACTAAATGCTAAATTTCCATCTTGCATTTTCTGACATAGTGCCATATTCTGTAGGGGATTGGAGGATCAGGGCCAAGCCTACTCAACCTGCAGACATCAGTTACCTCTCACCACTTGGGGTCCTGCCACGTGGACAGAGGCCACCACTGGCAGTAGTGAGTGATGAACCTGGGTTACTTGGCCATGTTTTTTTCCAAGACTGATTTTTTTCCAAGACTGAGAAGAATCCACTAAGTAGAATGGTAGAAATTATTAGTGGATATCAGCTTCTTCATGAGAGAAAAGACCTTTCTGCATTTCCTCTTGAGAATATGGCTCATTCTCTGAGGCACTGTCTGAAAACAGATGCTCCCTCCAGAAAGCATCTCCAGAGGATTGTCACTCTCCACCCCTGAGAAGCATGCTATGTGTTCTCCGAGGTCAGGGACATTTTCACACTCCTGTTTGTGTCCCTGCCTCCCCTCCTGTGTCCTTCCTGGTACTAGAACCCAGGAGTCCTTGAGTAAATGTTTGCTGAGTGTTGGCAAGTCTGTTTTCATAGTGTAAGTCCCCTTTAGGGAAACTTATCTTTGATCTGTTCAGTTCAGCACTTTATTAGCATCTCCTATGTAGCAGGTCCTGATCCAGGGACAAAGTTTAAAAAAAATATATATGTTTTCTTTGCTTTCCAAGAGCTTATTGATAGGCACACACTACTATCCTGTAGTGTGTGCCTATCACACTACAGGATACCTGTAGTGTGATAGGCACCCCCGGGGGGAAGATTACAGAATATAATATATAATGTGGAAAGGAGTCTCGAGGAGGTGGTGATTGCCTTGATTAGGACAAAAGGGGAAAACCTCAAGAAGATGATGATTTTTGAGTTGTTTTTGAAGGGACTTATTTTTTGATATCTTAAAAATATGCATATTTTTATAGCTTGAAAATAGCATGAGGTGATTAGAGTTTTTTTAAGGGCTAGTACTTGAAATCTTCAAGATGGGGAAAAGGAGAACTTGATAGGAATGGGCAGAGAATGATTCAGACAAATTAGGCATCCTGAGCTCTTTATGACTTTGTAATCATTGGAAGCTGAGTTACTCATAACATATCCGTCAATGATATGTTCCTGTTTTTCTCTGCCTTCATCAGAAACACAACAGATTGCTGAGAAGGGCAGATGTACAAATCTAATGAACCATCTTTCAATTTAAAGAGTGCCCAGGAGTATTCATTAAATAAATAGCAGTGGTGGAGGTGTGCTTTGCAGAGCTTCAGCTGCATGCTCCGTGCCTTCGCATTGCTTATTAAACTAAGCATTGAGCACTTACCCGCCCCACACACATACATGCCTTACCCACAAATAATGACTTCAGAATTTAACTCTCGTCTTTAATTTATCTTGTCATTTTATTGTGAAATAAGCACTGAATTATTTATGGTTAACTTATCCTTGATATTTATAGAACTCCAGCATCCAGCCAATGGCTGCACATAGTAGGCACTCAGTGGATATTTGTTCAGTAAGGGGATGATGGATGAGCAAATTCATGGGATACTAAGACAAGGCTCATGAAAGTCCCTGGAGAAGTAGTGTTTCTGGTAAAAGCACCCATTTCCAATGATCAGATACATAAGCCACCCTTTTGACAACCAGCAAATTGTGGCATGATACCTGGTGAGGAGACCTGGATTGCCACTTCATGCCACCTGAGACAGGTACAAGTCACTTGTTCTCTCTGACTCATTTTTTTAACTGGTTTCATTGGGACATGAAGTCAAGTCTACATTCTGGTTTTCTCCTTAAAGCCTCCTGATATTCTCCTCCCAGCAGAAATCTGTCTTATGTTTTAGGTGGCTGGAGGAAAAACTAGCATCTTGCTCCGCCAGGAACTTCACCCTAGTTATCTAACCTTGCTTGCCTAACTTAGGTCAAACTGCCATGATCTCTGACCTCATGTGTAAGGACTTGGGGACAGAAATGTGGAAGCTGAGATTCAGGTATTAGAAAAGGAAAGTTCTAATAGTGTAGCAAGCCTTTCTCTGAGTCAGTATATCCAAGTGTAATTAATAGAATGATTGAGATTATATGCACATGCATTTTTATTGGCAAACAAACCCAGGATGAGCTCTATGGGGTCATCTCTTTCTAAACTTTACCTTACCTGACTCAGCAAATGCAAACAAATTGCAGTCATCTGCCTAAGCAGCACATAAAGTAAGCTGTTCACTTACAGCCCAGTCTGCAATTTACAGCGGCCCTTTTTAATCTATCCTACAACTTTTTATCCTACAACATCCCTAATAGGTGCATAGAGTTGTTCCACCCATTCTACAAGTGAGGAGACATAACCTCTGTGGCTCTGTTTAAAGCATTTAGCAACTTTCCCAAGCCTGTGGGGGAGCCAGGGTCAGATCAGGCTGACTTCAGGGCCCAGGCTCTTCATTTGTAAGCTCTACTGCCTGCCTATACATGTGCCAAATGTGCCACATGCAAATAGAGATAATGTTTCAAGTTGTTTGCTGTTTTGGATTGCTTCATGAAGCACAGTCATAAAATATCAGTTCATTTCAAACTTTGGCCACCCCTCTTGTTTTTCAAGATATTAAATAGAAAGTGTTGTCTACTAAATTTAGTGAAAATCAGTCAACTTCAAAGAAAAGCAGAAATTATGTCCACTTTTCAAGTAGAAAACTTCATTCAGAATAGAAATGCAAACTTTCCTCTGCAGCTCTATTTGTTTTCTAAACTGTTGCATTAAGTACTTGGCTCCTTCTGACTGAAGCATCAAGAAGGACCCATGTAGGGCCAAGTGCAAGGGGCTTGTGGATTTTGTGGGATGATCTTGCCTAGAGCCTCATGTTACGCAGCTCGGCACATGTGAGGAATGTTATGAGCTCACAGGGTGACTGGCTGTGAATGAAATTGATAGGCAGAAAAATTTCAGTCTTCTCTGTTATGGGAGGAAGGGTATAACATCCCAACTGAGTGTTTTTTGAGAGCCTGCTATCCTCGTCATATTTCCTTGCTATTGTCAACCAAGATCTTTTATATTTTCCATGTTGCTTTTAACTCCTGGGTAGCCCTACAGGGCAGTATAATAAAACACCAACTAAGAGACAGACAATCTTAATTCCAGATCTCCTGTCTGACACTGGGAGCTGGGAGGGTTTTGTAGAGGTAGCTGGACCTGAAAGAGGAAGGGAATGACTTGCTTTCCCTGGTGATGGTAGACACAGCAGAACCTCATTGAATCTATTAAAAAAAAAAAAAAAAAAAAAAAGTCTAATTACAGCCAAGCAGATTCCCAAGGATATGCTGCCAGAGCAAAGAATGCTGCTAACACACTGAGAACCATGCAGGGCAGATGCTAAGAAAAGCCCAGCATGGCCCAGGGAGGCTGTAGGAAAATGTGATGGGGCTGTTCACCTCAGGGGCTTGTGCTGCCACACATGTCTGCCTGTCCTCATATGCAGCATCAAGATGTGTAGGAGTCTTTGAACAACTTCATTTTCCCCAGCTGGTTATTCCCTGTTTAAAGTCATAATCCTTTATTTCTGACATCATAGAAAAGGTTAAGATGTCTCCAAGGGACAAAGAAACAGCAGTGATATCATGACTGTGGTTGGTTGTAAAATGGATTGTTTTCCAAGAGTTTTGTTTTGAGTCTCTAG